CTCGAGGTGTGGCAGAGGTTCCGGCGGTGGCGTCTGCGCGGGAGGGAGCCCTGGACCAGAGTCTGGTGAGAGTCGCGCGTGTCAGCCAGGGTCGGAGGGGGCGGGCTCGGGGAGAGCATCCTCCCGGCCTCTGAGGGCCTCCTTTCCAGCCCCCAGCCCGCGGTTTCGCACCGCACCACGCCCGCCCCCATGTCCGCTCCCGCCCCGGGCCTCTCCCTGTCTCCCGCGGGCCCACCTGCCAGGGTCCCTCTTTAGTCCCGTTATGGGCTCCACCTTGTAGCGGGTGGAGCAGACAAGTTCAGTGCAGCCCGGCGAGTTGGGGCGGCTGGGGTGGGGGTGTTAGAGGGAGGCCCTGCTTGACTGTATCCTCAAGGGCGTGCTGTCTAGTAAGGAAACAGGCTGTCCTGAAAGATAGTGAGTGCCCTGTTAACAGATGTGCAAGAGGGTCGGAGAGTTTACTTGGCAGGCAAGTTACCCTGGGGTATAAAGGTTGAACTAGAAGATGAGTTTGAAGGTCTGCGCCCAACCCTGACCACATTCTGAGTCTGGGCTTCCTTGGAAGTTTGGTATGCGTTTATTCCCCCACCCCCAATCCTGAGCACACTTATAAAATTGTTAGAGCACGTAAAAGTCTTCCTTGCCCTTCTGATAGAGAAGAGGGGTTGGGTACAGCTTAGTATTATAGATAACTGGTTAACCCAGCTATAGAAGCTCTGGAAGAAGCCAAACCGAATTATATCTCAGGAATAGGATTCTGAATTTCAAACCACTTTTATATAGCCCCTGTCTTCTTTTTTCTGTAAGTCTCATCCCCTCTGCACTGAAGAGTGATATACCGTAGGCCTCCCTTATCCACAAGGGACACGGTCCAAGACCCTTGGTGGATACCTGAAACCAACAGGTAGTACCAAACCCTATATATACTATGTTTTTTCCTATGCATACGTACCTGTGATAAAGTTTTAATGTCTTTTCCATTTAAGCACTTAGGCACTGTGGCTGTAACTTTTGCAGTTTGAGGTGTGACAGCAAAACTAGCACAAATTTCTTTTTTTTTTTTTTATTGGGGAGGAGAAGTGTTGGGGAATTAGGGAAGGGGAACATTGTGTTTTTCCAGGACCCATCAGCTCCAAGTCAAGTTGTTGTCCTTCAATCTTAGTGTGAAGGGTGCAAGCTCAGCCCTAAGTCCAGTTGCTGCACTCAATCTATTGGGTTGTGGGAAAAGTCGTGATGTATTTTTTCTATGTTTTTCATTGCAAAAGTGCGTCATGACTTTTCTGACAACCCAATAGTTGCAGGTGGGCATAGCCCACCATCCCATGCGGGAGTTGAACCGGCAACCTTGTTGCACACAGAGCCATCTGGCTGCCCGTCGGCAGCTCGTGGCTGCTCAGCTCAAGGTCCCATGTTCAATCTTAGTTGCAGGAAGGGATGGGGGGGTGGGCGGGGATGCAGCCCACCATTCCATACGGGTGTCAAACCGGCAACCTTGCTGCTAAGAGCACGCGTTCTCACCAGCAGCTCAGCTCAGGCGCAGCTCACTGGCCCATGTGGGAATCGAACCGGCGACTCTGTTGCTCAGAGCTCATGCTCTTAACCAACTGAGCCACTCGGCCGGCCCTAGCACAAATTTATTTTTCTGTTTCACAATTTGACCCATAGAAGATTCTTACTGTAGATCTTAGCAACCTTAGCATATAGTTCTTTTCTTTCCTTATTAAGTTGAATCACCTAAAGAAAGCACTTTATGACCAGCATCACTACTCTTGTGCTTTGGGGCTATTATTAAGTAAAATAAGGGTTACTTGAACACAAGCAGTGTGATATCGTGACAGTTGATTTGATAGCTAAGATGGCGACTAAGTGATGGGGAGTGTATACAGCATGGATACGCTGGACAAAGGGATGATTCACATCCTAGGAGGAACAGCGTGAGATTTTATCACGCTACTTAGACCAGCATGCAATTTAAACTTATGAATTGTTTATTTCTGGAATTTTCCATTTAATAGTCTCAGATCATGGGGAACTGAAACTGCAGAAAGTGAAATCTCAGATAAGAGGCAGGGTACGCTACTTTATTATATTCTCATGGCAGGACCAGGGACAAGGAAAGCTCTTTCTCACTCATGGGTGTTTATGAAATGAACAGACACAAGGCAAACACTGGATGTGGGCAGTATCCTGAATGCTGCGTTTGATTTTTGGTTCTGGCAGCTATTAACTAACTTGGGGCAAGAAAATTACTTTTTGTTGTACCTCAGTGTATCCATCTGTAAAATGGCGGTAATGAGATAGGACTGCGAGGATGATATGAGTTGATGCTTGTAAAGCTCTTAGCACAGTGGTTGGCACCTCAGATGTGCTTAGCAAATGTTTACTGTTAAAGAAATATATGTGTATTTATTTATATATGCATAGTTTTTCTGTAGAAGGATAGATGAGAAACTAGTAACAGCTTCCAGGGAGAAAAACTATTGGGTTGTCAGAAAAGTCATGATGCATTTTTGCAACGAAAAACAGAAAAAATACATCATGACTTTTCCGACAACCTAATACATGGCTGGGAACACAGATGAGAAAACTTCTTGCTAATAGCCTTTTGTGACTTCCCATTTTAAACATGTGAATGTACTACCTAATCAGAAAATAAGTTGAAGTATTTTTAAAAAAGAATTCCCCCACTTAAAAAGGCGTTTTACCTTTATTTTCTTTTTAAGATTTAACTTCTTTCCTTAAAAAAGTTTGACCTAAGTAACTTTGTATTTTTCAGTTTATTTATATGGCTAGCTTACTCTCAGTTTGGGTAGAATAACCTTTGAGTTACCTGGTAAATACTAAGCATTTTAGTATTGTCAGAAGGAAAGTTTACTGTTCTTTTAAAATAAATGCAAATTGACCAGCCGTGAATGATTTACTTTGCCTCACCTAACAAACTAAATATTAGACCAACAATTTATTCAGCCTAAATTTAAAGATGGGTGGAAAAAGGATTTTGTACAAGAACACTTTAAGACAACCATTTTTAGAAAAAATTTTTTGTCTCTTTGATGATTAGGTAATGCTTAAATCTTATGAATACAGTAGGTCCTTGAATAATATCATTTAGTTCAACATCATTTCCTTATAATGAGATGCTCTAGGCACTTAACTCTTGCTTATTTAGCCCATGGTAAAATTGGTTGTTTCCCTTAAAGTTGCAGAACCTATTACTGTACAACTCTCTTGATAGAATGCTTATTTCATTATCTTATAAATGCTTTTCATTGGGTGGAATTAGCTTTTACTGGAGATTGTAAATTCAGAATGGGCCTCATGATGGGCAATTCGTGTGACCACAGAAGTTCTAAGAGAGATGAGGTTCCTACAGGAGAGGGCTACTGATGGGATTTCCACTGAGTTTCAGAGTTTACTGTGATCTAAAGGGCAGCTCCCCTTTTATTGGCATCCTTACTCAAGCTTCTTTGGACTCCTGAATGCAAATTCTAAATTTTGACACACTTCCTGAAAGATAAGCATTGAGATCAGTCCATGACGTGACATTTTATGTTGATATAAAGAAGTTTAAAATGCTCCATAAAACATCTCTCTTCTCTCTTGCTCCTGGTTTTTATTCTTTGAATGGAGGGTATAGAACGGTGGAGGGGTGGGTGGGCAGAGGAGTTGAGCAACAGTATATGTCTGTATGGTAGGACCACAGTGCTCAGAGGCAGGCAGCAACTAAGAGATGGGGTGAGGAGTGAAGTTTATGCGAAGGCTTTCCAGAAGAGGTGACACTGAGGCCGAGTTTGAAGGATGAAGAAGAGTCAAGAGGGAAAGGAAGTTTTAGGTATAGGTATTTGCACTTAGAAAGGTACAGATATGGAGGAGACTCACTGATTGATCTGCAGGCACTTTGGTATGGCTTTGGCACAAAGTAAGAGTAACTGTAGTTAGGGCAGATATGGTTGGAAGGATGTGCTAGGTCCAAATCAGCAATTTGGACTTTATCCCTAGGTGGTGTATCCTGATAATTAGATTTATGAACTTTGGTAAGATCACTCTGAAAGTTTGTGGGAGGTAGGGGAAAGCTAGAGACAAATAAACCACTTCAATAACTGTTATAATAGTTGAGGCCTAAGATGAGGGATTCGCTTAGGGGATGTCCTGGTGAGGATGGAGAGGAGGAGCTAGAGTCGAAAGATACTCAGAAGGTAGGATTGATAGGGCTTTAGGAGATGCAGGGTGAGAAGCTAAGGAGACAAGGATGTCAAAGCGTTTGGATGAATGGAATGGAAGTTCCTAACTGAGGTAGAAAATAAGGAAGGAGGAACAGGTTTGGAAAAGAAAATGAGTTCTGTTTGGGATAGTGACTTTAAGGTGCCTGTGGGACAGCAGATTCTGGTAGGCGTTTGGAATTGGCCAGTTTGTAATCACTGGCAATAGGTGCTAATGAGTGTTTGAAGGTAGGGTTGTTGTTTTCATCTTGATCTTCCTCACCTCTTCCTCAGCACGAATCACAGTGCTTTGTAATATTGGGGGTGTATGGTGTGAGGGTGAGTAGATCCCTTATAAGAAGTGATCTTGAATCTTGGGGAAGTAATTTCCCCCTCTCTGATTTGTTTCCCTTTATGTAAGTGAGGGAGTTGAACTAGGTCAGTAATTCTCAAAGTTTTGCAATAGTCTGTAATGTTGGGATCAGTTGTGAGGGTTGGCAACTAATTTTTAAGAATAAAGAGCTGATGTTTGCTTGCCTTTTAAATGGGAGTTGATTTGTCACTCTTTCTTAATTGCATTCCAGTATGTTAAGTGTGAGAGAAAGGGGTGGAGTTATAGTTAGTCTGACAGAGCTTCATAACTCTGGATAAACCAGTGGCTGTGTCACACAGAAGTGAGGGTGAAATAAGGTTAAGGATCATTATACTAAATGGTGGGTAAGGACTTAACAACTGCAAAGTGGTGTGTTTATATCTAGGACCTATCATTCTGATCATTAATAATTTTTATTTTTGCTACTTCAGGAACTCTATTTTAAGGACCTTTCAAAAAGAAAAAAACAAGTCATGGAGAAGAATGGGAATAAACGAAAGCTTCGAGTTTGTGTTGCCACTTGCAACCGTGCTGATTATTCTAAACTTGCACCGATCATGTTTGGCATTAAAACGGAGCCTGAGTTCTTTGAACTTGACGTGGTGGTACTTGGCTCTCACCTGATAGACGACTATGGGTAAGATAAAAGCATTTTCTTATATTCTTCATTGCAGCATGGGATACTAGAGGGAGCTTGGATCTGGGAACCACATGGACCTAGCTTCAAATCCCAGTTTTACCACGTAGTGTTTATGTGGCCTTAACCATATAAAAGGAGAAGCCACTTAGCATCTTTGAGCCTCAGATTCCTCAGTTATAAAATGGAATAAAAACCTATGTTGTAGGTTATTGTGAAGAATGGAGATAGTCATATAAAGGACTCATCACAGTGATGCTGCCTATTAGGTGTCTGATAAATGATAGCTATTAATATTTATTATATTCAGGAGAAATACCACTTATAAATATATATAGTGTGATAAAATAATGTGACTCCATGTAATCTGTTTTGTGAGTTCTAATGGTAATTCTACATTAAAACTGGCATATAGATCAATAGCATATAAAGTAGTAGATATGGCACAAGATTTAAAAAATCTAATTGATCTACAACGTAAAGTAGAATGTTATATTACCTTTACCATTGATACTTATTTTGGTGACATTAGGTTTGTTATTGATCGGAGCTGAAATATGAAAAATGAATGTTGGGAAAACTTTGAGAGAGCAGAATGTATAAACCAAAGATGAACATTCATTTTGTTACATGTAATAAAGTGGCATTTAGCGCACCCTTGTGGCATGAAAATGTTAATGTAGCCTCCAAAGATGGTCAAAAATACAATACTAAATATGAAACAAGCTTGTGTTAAAGTAAAATTGTCTTTTTCAGACTTTTCTTTAAAAATGAGATAACTGCAAAAACAAATAAAAACCTGCCTCCAAAAACCAATTTAGCAATTTCCTCTAACAAAATACTTAGAGAAGAAATTTATGGTTAGCTCAAAAAGTCATAGATTTTTAAAATGTGAAATGAATTCTGGCTTAGAAAACCCACTTGGGTTTTTTTACACACATAGGAGAAAGATAGGATGAAATAGAAGAGAAATTTTAGTTAGACGCTGAGATGAAAGTCTAAGTGGGTTCTTTTACTTCTATGAGAAAAGTTTGACAGAAGACTAGTGGGAGACAGGCTCTCAAGGTAATTGTGGTACATTTCTTATCTGCCTACCACAGTAGTTACGGGTAGAAAGGTGATATTTGTCTGGTGAAACTTAAAAAAGAAATTTGACTAGTACTTAATGGAAATGTATGTTTAAAGTACATTCTATCATAAGAAATTGGTTGCTTCCGGGGAGAAGAATTGGATGACTGGGAAACAAAAGTGAGAAAGTAGCCTTTTCACTGTATAGCTTTTTACACCTTGAATTTTAAACCACATGAATGTATTATCTATTTTAAGAATACATTAAACCAACAGAAAAAGTAAGCTACCCTTCTATTTCAACTACTTGGATATTTTTTTAAAAACAGCATTTTTATACTCTTAAGAATTGAGCTAAAAAAGGAAATCAAATGCTAAAGACTACTTAGAAATTCATTTTTTCATTTATTTATTCAACAATTTTTTAAGCGGCTAGGGGTGTTTCTCACCATCCTACAATGCACAATGCACAGGTCAACTCCCCACAACAAGGATGTACTCGGCCCACAATGTCAGTAGTGCTGAGGTTGACAAACCTTGCTCTGTGCTGTTTTCCCCACAAAAATGTGAAGAAAACGATTAGAACAATGCTGGTCTGACAGGTGGCTTAATTATTAGCTAAGTGACTCACTCCCCTCATTAACCTCAAACAGACAGGATTCAAATTTATGTTTAGCAAACTTGCACATCATTTCATGACTCCAGGACTTGACACTTCAGGATTACTTGGGAATTTTAAAGTCATGCATACCAAAATCGGCTATACTGTCTTGTATGTATGTTCACACGCGCATGCATCTCTCTCTCTGTCTCTCTCTTCGCACACGCATGCATCTCTCTCTGTCTCTTTCTCTCTCTCTTCTCTCTCTCTCTCTCTCTCTCTCACACACACACACACACACACACACACACACACACACTTACTTATCACAGATAGAGTGCCCTGCAACTGGTGCTCATTACATTGTGAAGATTAGGTCCCATACCAATCAGTTACTCAGAGGGTGTTGAAATGACTTAAAATCAGGAGGATTAATATATTATTAAAGGAAATTGTTCTGGCTAGAAAGTGAAAATAAAAACAAATTAAAGTGAAAAACTTAGAATAAGGCTGTCAAACATGCTAACTAATTATGGAGATGGGCGTATCTTCTTGGGAGGGATTCAGAAGTTTTTAAGTCTAGTTAGCTCTAACAGAGAATAAGTATGTTGAACATGATTATTGTGCATAATTTTTGTATCTCAAGACGTTATTAGAAGATAGTCGGTATGTACACAGCTGTCTGAGCATTTTCTGCTGGAAGAGACCTGATAGGGGATTATCAGCAATGGGAAAGCTGTAGAGAAAACTTAGATCCCTCAAGGATCAGATTCCCTCCAATGATGAGAAGACTAAGTTTGAGAGCTGCTGGTTATGTTTCTATATACTTTTAACATGCAAAAGCACAAAGAAAAGAAATAAAGAATCAGAAAACAAATAAAAACTGATATATTGGTTGTCGGAAAAGTCATGACGTATTTTTTTCTATGTTTTTCGTTGCAAAAATGCATCATGACTTTTCCGACAACCCAACAGATCACTGAACTCATTTTCATCTAAGAATGATGCTTCCAAATTAGAGACAGTTTATTTAAAAGGGGAGAGGTACTATCAGTAAAAATTAATAAGAGAATGGGCACCATGAAGACCCTACTGCTGTGAGGAGGTACATTGAGGGACTTGGGACAAATGCACTGGATCAAGTACCATTCATTTAGAGATTATATAGATGGCCTACTTTTGTTATAGTCCCAAGGTTTTTGAAAACGTTCAAGTTTGGCAGCAGTTCGAACTAAATACTTAAAACATGTTTGTCCAATACAGAATTTAGTTTAAAAATAAACTCAATATTTTGGTTTAATTCAGACGTTAGCAAATTCTTCAAGTATATCTGGTGTTACAGGACCTAGTGTTTTGTTTTGTTTTGTTTTTGAGATGCCGTTTCAAGGGGTTTCTGATTCTGGTTCCTGAAAGACAGGGATGGACATTCTGAGGAGAGACAGTCTCAGAATGAAAGCTCTGTTGCATGAGCTGTCCATCAGAAATAGAACTTTCCTAAAATAGAAATCTAGGTCCTTCAGCTAATGAAGAATCATTTATGCTCAGAATGGAAATATGTATTTAATTACATTCTGTCCTCCATTAAAAGAAAAAGATTATTTACAGACATCATAGCTTGTATAAGAAAATCCAACAGAATCTATCAAATGACTATTTAGGACATCCATACAAGTATGTATGTAAAGAATCCTTCATGATCTGAGAAAATATAGTGTTAAATGAATTAAGTAGACTACAAAATTGTATGTATAATGTGTTCTCAACCATGTTAAAATATTATGCATAAAATGGCTAGAAAGAAAACCAAATGATAACACTGATACTGCTGAGTGGTAGGTTATGGATGATAATTTTTTGTATTTTCCAATTTTTAAATTATAAACGTATTATATATTTAGGGGGGAAAAAAGCTAGATCTTTTAAAATCTTGTAACAGACAGGAAACTTTAAAGCATTGAGGATTGCTGTTGTTTACTGAAGCATGAAACAGACTTGAAACTGCATTTCACAGCCAATTTAATGCTGTAAAACCTCCATTTTCACTCCAATCAGAATTGTGCTGCATTAATGGTACCATACAAAGAGAATTCAGATGATAAGTTCCATCATTCAGAAATTTATATTGTAGTGACATGTCAGGTGTCCTGGTTCCCTACTATTTTTTAAATGAGCTTTGTTTTTATAAGTAACATTATTTTCTACTAAGTAGCACATTTCTTTTTATAACTTTATAAATATAAAAAGAAAGAAAAAAGTCGTGACCACTGTAAAATTTGGTCTCTTTTTTCCTAATCAAAATTCTCCCTCAGATGTTTTTCCCTCCATGTACTCAGTGAGAGGAGCACAAATGAGACAGGCTCCCAAGATGCTGCATGTGTTATGTCTTGATCTGGTTGGTGGTATGCAGGTAGAAGAATTATCAAGCGGTCTATATATTTATGGTCTGGACTTTTAATTTTTATAAGTAATACTTCAGTTTACTTATTTAACAAGGAAATTTTATAAAATATTTCTCGCTTCAGAATTGATGTTAGATTGCTTTTCTCATGCTTTTATTTCTCACATTTTTATTTCTGTCCTGCTTTAGAAATACATACCGCATGATTGAACAAGATGACTTTGACATTAACACCAGACTGCACACGATTGTTAGAGGGGAAGACGAGGCAGCCATGGTGGAGTCAGTAGGCCTGGCCCTCGTGAAGCTACCAGATGTCCTTAATCGCCTGAAGCCTGACATCATGATTGTACACGGAGACAGGTTTGATGCCTTGGCTCTGGCTACATCTGCTGCCCTGATGAACATCCGAATCCTTCATATTGAAGGTGGGGAAGTCAGTGGGACCATTGACGACTCTATCAGACACGCCATAACTAAACTGGCTCATTATCACGTGTGCTGCACCCGGAGTGCAGAGCAACACCTGATCTCCATGTGTGAGGACCACGATCGCATCCTGTTGGCAGGCTGCCCTTCCTATGACAAACTTCTGTCTGCCAAGAACAAAGACTACATGAGCATCATTCGGATGTGGTTAGGTATGGATCAGACTGTATTCAGTCTCATGGCTGTGTGTGTCAGTGTTGGGCATGTTTCAGTCCTTTCAGAAACTACTGTGGATAGAATATTCCATTTGCAGTCAGGGGGCTAAGGGTTTAGTTCATAGACCTCGCCTTGTGGTATGATTTCACCTCTCTGAGACTCACTCATTCTGTAAAATAAGCTTAATGGATTGAATTTTTAAAATCTATGCTATATTTATAACTGGAATGATTTTAATCCATTAAATATGATGTTATGGGTGAATACTTAGTTATAGGGCTAGATCCTGACATAGCAAAAAGGGGAAAAAAAGCAAGCTAAAAAATTTATAATATGCCATTTTATGAAAACAGTAACATAATGGGAAGTTTAAGAAAGTATGTATGTACATCAAATCATTTATAGTATTTGTTTCTGGTTAGTAGGATTACGGGTGTTTTTGTTTTCCTTTATTTTGTTTTTTAGCACAATGAAAAATTTATTTTTAATTTTAATACCTTTCTTACATGATTATTGAAATACTCAGATGAGATAATGAATGTTGAAAGCAGTAAGCCATAAGTACTTAATAAAAGGGATTATGATGGTTATTGAAAAGTAAAAGTCATAGTTGTACTGTTAGAGTTTGTTATCTCTATAAATAAGCCTTAAGGTCTGAAATCCTCAATGTTCAATGATCTAACGTCCTAGAAATTACCTTTTGCTAATCAGAGGCAAAGAAAATAGGTTTACAAACAGAATTCCATTTGGTTCATTATAGTGAGAGTACTATGTAGAGGACAAATCAGGAGTAATCATGTATTTAGGTATTTGTTTAAAGAGGTAGATCTACTGAACAATGAAGTTAATGAATGGCAAATTGATTTGGTGATTGTGTATATTTTAAATCAGATCACAGTACAGGAAAGGAATCGGGCTTTCCTACCGTATAAGTTAACCCATTCTATATATTTCTTATTCTTGGACAGATTTGTAGGTATCAGGGAGCCTGTCTAGATAATGCTGGTGGAACAAACTTGTCTCTTTAGTTTTTCCTTTTTGTATGCTTCTAAGTAAACACTGTTACATTCTGTTTTGATTATGCTGTTAGCTATATATATGTATTCTGAAAAACTCTGTATATTTGAAAAACTTGCAATGAATAGAAAAATAACCCTTGTAAAGCAGAATGCAGCAAGATTGTACTTGTAGAGCTTAAGGTTCTATTTGGAACCACTTAAGCAGTTTCTTTATGAAAAGAAGGATAACAAAATAGCAAAAACTAGATTTTTTTTAAGCCAATGGGGGAGGCTGGAGGAGGAGAAGACAATGAGCCCAAGCCATGTACCCCTGGCAATAATATTTTGTGCAAAGCCCGCACCTGCTTCTCCACCGGCAATTCCTGATGTTATCACCCTGCTTGTAGGAAAAATAGTGTTGGGGAGGCCACTCAGAGCATGCAGCTTTGTAACCAGAACATTAATAAATATAATTGCAGTCCAAATAAAAATTTAGCAAAGTTAAACATGTTAAATTCAAAATAATGAAAGAAATACCACAGTACATACAGAACTTGACAACACAAAACAAAATGACAGCCCCGTAATGGAAAGGGTTGTGTGGAAGGGCCGAAGCTGCTGATCTCTGGAGACAAAGGCAGAATAATGATGTCACTCCAAGGTGCACATGGAGAAGCAGGTGCGGGCTTTGCACAATATGTACTATTGCCAGGGGAATGGGCTCCAGCTTATTGTCCTGGATTTTCTTTTTTACTATTTCTTTTTTTTTAAGACATCTAGTTTTTGCTATTTTGCCATCCTTTTATGAAGAAACTGCTTAAATGGCTCCATATAGAGCCCTAAGTTACAATCCTGCCACATTCTGCATCACATGGTTATTTTCCACTATATAGTACAAATGTTTCTTAATCACACTTAAAGGAGAAGATAAATGAGAAGTGGAAAGCTTTTATGGAGTAAACTGCTGGAATTTTTCTTCCTCTTCACCTCCCACTGGCCCCTTCGCAGTCAGCTGTAGCAGTAAGTTGTGTATGAACCTCTGCATGGAACTGCAGAAGCTCCGTAATATCCTCACTCTCAAAGAAAAATTGCCACCGAGAAACCAGAAACACGAAGATCAGAGAGACTTGCCCCAAAAGTGTTCTCAAGACAGAGTACATGGGTACACTGAACCAAGAGAAAGAATGTGGGGTGAAGGGGCCCTGTGACAAGTATTGTATTCCTCCACAGCTTGTTGCATATATTTACGTGAAGGTTCTTTGTATTCAGCTGTGGGGAATCATGTATGGATAACTCAACTACTATATTAAAGGCTGTCATCATTCCTCTTTACCAGTCACAGACGAGCGAATTCACTTTATAGAAACATGCATTATAGCAGAACCAGCTTGTACCTGTGGTCAGATTGCAGCATATACTGGTACATAACATTTCCATGTCCTTTATAGGGCAGACGCCTCTTTTATTTTATTATTTTTTTAAAACCTACTGTTTAAAAAAAATTTTTTTTAAGCTGAGCCATCCTGCCACCTGTTGGCAGCTCAGCGGCAGCTCAGCTCGGACTGGGAATCAAACCGCTGTTGCTCAGAGCTAGCACTCTTGAGTGAGCTCTTAACCAACTGAGCCACTCAGCCAGCCCCAGACACCTCTTATTGCTGTTTCTCTCCCCATAGTTTCTAATGGCTTTGATCTATAGCTAGTGAATTACCTAAATTTATGTTGATCTCATCTTTTTAGATTTCTGTTTCTGATAGATTCTTTTAGGCCTTTAGTTCTTTTTCCTATTTTGTACAAAACTTTAATAACTATCTCACCCTAACCCCAAGTTTAGAACATAATATAGAACCAATAATTTTTTAAAATAAAATTTTGGAGCCTATAGTCTTTTAAATTAAATACTACTGAAGGTTCTTAGTAAAAATTCTCTGTTATCATTAAATCATAAAAAATAACTGCTACCATTTGACTTTGGAAATTAATGATAAACTTACAGTTCATGATAAGTTGATCATTAAAATTAATATCACAAAGAAAAATACGGTATTCTTTCATTAAAAATAAACAAATGGAGCTCATTTTCAGTTTTATGGGTTAATAGAGGCCCTGTTGATGTTTTGTGTCATCTGGCATAGTACTGTCCATCTGAACCATTTACATTTTAAATTTTTGCTGAGGAACTGTTCTTAGAATCCCAGCCTGGGGTTAAGTGAAGCCTTTCTAGTCCTTGGAACAGAGTTAGAAACACTCGCCATTTGTTGAATCTGGTGGGTGATAGTCTGGGGAAGCGCCTACATATTATATGAAATATATTTAATGCTCACAATCTCTACATGCCCTAATTTGTAACATTCATTAATATTGCTGATAATTCATTAGAGACACTGGTTAGAAATTGGGAATATTCATATTTTTCTAATGCTTTGAAATACTTTGGATTTTAAAACAATGAATTCTGGTTTCTACTACTTAAAGTATTATATGTTTTGTTTGTGGTAGCAAGCATCTTTGTAAAATGTTAAGTTTGCCAAACCCTTGGACTTGTTGCTATAAGTTCTTATCATTTGAATGTAATTTGGATGCCCTGCTTAGAATGTGACAAATTGTATTTTCCTTAGAATTTTTAAAAGCACAGACTTTGATGTCTGATTTTTAGAATTTGCTTCTTCCTCCTTTTAAGATTCTTAACTAATGAAGCAATGTGGTTTGATTTTCTTTAAACAGGTGATGATGTAAAACCTAAAGATTACATTGTTGCACTACAGCACCCTGTGACCACTGACATTAAGCATTCCATTAAAATGTTTGAGTTAACATTGGATGCACTTATCTCATTTAACAAGCGGACCCTAGTTCTGTTTCCAAATATCGATGCAGGTAATTGAACTTGAAAATGAAAGTATGCCACCTACCTTTACAGTTTTGTGTTTCTATTATGTCTTCTTTTGACTGCTCTAGCTTGCTGATTTTGTCATGGAAGGCCACTCTGCTCTGAAATGCATTCCAGTTTTAAAAGGATCATCAATTTTGCAGTAGATTGAAGAGTTTGTGATGTTTTTGTCATGTCTAGTTGACACTTAATAGAAAAGAAATACTAAACAAAGATCTACTCTTCACTCTAGTTTCATGTTTAAATCTCTGTCTTCCAGTTTCCACCAATGAGAAAATACAATACCCAAGAGACATAAACATAAACCCTAGAAGTTGAAAGAGTGTCTTTAGGAAAATAATGATCCCACTGACCATAGTAAAATAGCCCTTATTGTTGTTTCTTGTTGTCTTATTTATGTTAGCTATACCTTAAAGTAATCTTGAGCTTAAACAGTTTAGACCTGCAGTCCCTAACCAGTTGATCTTCAAGCCTGACCTGGTTGATCACCTACTTACTGGTGGATGGTATTGTGCTTTGGTGCTTGTGACACCTTAGCCATGTTAACGGGGATATGAGATATAAATGAGAAATGCCAAAGCAGGGCCTGACACTGAGGAATTTTCAAATACTGGTTAGTATTAGCTGACAGCAGTCATTGCTGAGCTCTTAGGCAGTTTTTGGTAAAGGAGGCAGGACCCCTGGACCCCTTCTCTGCAATGTCAAAATGTCACCCATCTGACCGAAAGAATCCCTCTCTTAGGGTTTCTTGAGTAATCTTTACTATTAGGAGAAACATTAGGGTGTTAGTTGAAAAAAAAAATTAAGAACCCACAACACAGATTTTGTTCAGGTAACTTATCAATATTTCAAAACCTTAGTATTTATTATTTTCTAATCCTTTAAATTTTTGTATAAATACTTGTAATTATATATCTCTCTTGTTCAATATTCATTGTCAATGATATTTTGTTTGTAATATACTTTCCTGATTGTATACACTTTAGATTTGAGATATATTTCTCCTCTGAAAGTAAAGGGTCCTAGGAATGCCTAAATCATGCCTACCACTCGTCTCTCCTCCTCACAGGGTTTTTGATAAAATATACACAAGGAACAAGAGGGAAATAAGAATCAAGACATCACTTTATTATCTGGCTTAGCGCCCAGTTCCCTAATGTAGAACTCCCTGGGAAACAAGATTAGTACCCATGGTTTAGGCATAAGGCCAAAGAGAAGCCTTCAACTAAGCCCAAATCTGAACCCTGGAATAGTAGCACCTTCTCACGTTCCATGTACTACAGTAACTGTAGGCAATGGCTGGCGTGCTCTGCAGAGAGAAGTGGCCAGGCCTGTGCTCAGGAGTAGACCCTGAGTATCGCCTGCCTCACCACAGAGAGAAGGTTAAAAGAAGAGAACTGCATGCCCAGTTTCTGTTAAATCAGTGGTTCCTACCCGCTCGTGAATGCAGTGTGGTTGCTATCCTGCCTTCTAACCCACCAGATTAGCAACTTAACCTCCCCTTATAGCTAGGAAAGGGTGAGTAGAGAGGCAGGCCGAGAGGCAGTAAATGATGCCTCCTCCTCTTATATCTGTAACATCTTTTAAAATCACGCATTTAAAATATTAGCCACAGTATCAGAATCTGTATTTTCTTGGAGCTTAGTCCATGTAAGTGGCAGTGCTATCCCGTTGAGCTGTCGTTAAGTGTAAATGTGCGCAGAGCTGAGGCAGAGGCTCTTTGATCAGCTTGGTGTGTAGAGCCTGCCACCTTTCCATTTAGAACTCCTGGCTTGAGAGAGACTGTTGGCCTGTCTTGAGCCTCTGAATTGTTGTTTAAGGTAAAGGCTTTTGCTGGGGTGTTAATAAATAGTATTTGATTTGTTGAGTGCTCTTTGAAAAGTCCCAACTTGTGCTGTTTCAAGTTTCTAGATGAGATGAAGCAGAGAGGTGACCAGACGTTTTAGATATCCATCATTCAGTAACTAAAATTACTGTTTCCCTAATAACTGTTATGAGTTTTTATGGGGAGATTTCTTTAAGTGGGGTTATACTTGCCAATGAAAACTGTTTCTTTATCTCACAAGCCATGTAACAGTAGGTGCTTTTCATTTTCACAGGGAGCAAAGAGATGGTGCGAGTGATGCGGAAGAAGGGCATTGAGCATCATCCTAATTTTCGTGCAGTTAAACACGTCCCCTTTGACCAGTTTATACAGCTGGTTGCCCACGCTGGCTGTATGATTGGCAACAGCAGCTGTGGGGTCCGAGAGGTAGGGGCTTTTGGAACACCTGTGATCAACCTAGGAACACGTCAGATTGGAAGAGAAACAGGTATTTACCTTGGCTTGTGTTTCAGCTGACTAGGCTTAATACATATGTGTGAATTATTACAAGGTGTGCATGTATCTTTGCCGGCATCCATTTTTATCAACAAGTGAATGAATGTGGTTAATGACCAATTGTAGTCTAAAATCCATAAGCAGCACACAGTGATTACCAAAATTTTGGGGGGGCTCTACTTCATTTTTATTGTCTTTATAATATCAGAGCTAAGAGTTTCCTGGTTAATTGTGGTCTTTGGTGGCTGTGTTTAAGAGAGAATGTGGTTGAATGTGTTATCAGTATATGAATGCTAGGCTTTCATTTTCTGGGCCCAACAGTCACTTTAGTCACATTTTAGAGCATGGCAGTTCTGAGTAAGATGCCCCCTTAATAACTAAAGTATAAGTAGGATTATTATTAATGAATTTGCTAACTGAGCTTATCCTATTATTAACATTAGTCCAAGTTCTAATACTGTCTACATGCAAATATATTTCTGTAGCTAATATATGTACTTCATAGAAAAAGAACCGGACTAGAACAAGATTAGTTCGAACTCTGCTCTTCTATTCTTCATAATTGCTACCCTAACTTTCTATTATCTTTAGACCTTCTTCCCCTTTTGTCCTCAAAGTATTACTTTGTTCCCTACTTCACAGAGAAAATAGAAGCAATCAGATGAAAATTCTTTTAACTTCATTAATGTATTCATTAAGAAATATTTAATAAGCACCTACTATGTGCTAGACACTGGGATTCAGCAGCAAACTCGTATAAAAAGGACTGAGCTCTAGTGTAACTTCCATTCTAGATGCTAGACTAAAAAAAAAAGAGCAAGAAAAAAATATCAGATTTCTGTGCACTGTGCAGATATAACACAAGATAATGTATGTAATGGGCTACATTAGATTGGGTAAGGGAAGGCGTCTTTTAGGAGATGAGACTTAAGCTGAGATCTGCATGACAAGGAATCAGCTATGTGAGGATCAGGGGCAAGCAGAGGGAAAAGCCATTGTGCAGACCCTAAGATAGGAACAAGCTTGAAGGGTCAGTATAGTAGAGAAGTGGGCAAGAGGAAGGGGAATTCCAGGTGATGTTGGGGACGGAGGCAGACCTACGCCAGGGAAAATAATTAGGACTTTTTTCTAAGTAAGATGGGAAGCCATTTAAAAGAGAGGATGGCACGATACGGCTTGCATTTTGGAAAGATCACTCTGGCTGCTGTATGGAGAGTGGAATGTGCTGGGGCAGGAGTGGAAGCAGGGAGGCTAGTGAAGAGGTTATTTCAGTTCAGATGCGAGACGACAGTGGCTTAGACTATGTGGTAGGATTAGAGATGGAGAAAAGTTAGATTTGGGGTTTGTTGTAGTACTTGCTGATGGTTGGATGTGAGTAGTGGAAGGAAAAAAGGAATCAATAACTCCTAGATTTTTTAATTGAGAAGTGGGGGTACTCTTTTCTGATATGGGCAACACTGAGGGAGGGGCAGATTTGGGAGGGGGTGGAATTAAGACTTCTCGAATGGCCTTGTTAAGTTTGAGATGACTATTAGATATCAAAGTAGAGATGGCAGGTAAGCAGTTATATAGTTCTAGGGAGAGTTAGAGTTGAAGATGCAAATTTGAGAGTAATTGGCATATAGATGGTATTTAGCTAGGATATCAGTTCAGCTGCTATAACAGAGAGACCCAAAATAATAGTGTCTTAAATAAATTAGATTTTATTTCTTACTGGTATGGCAGCTCCACAGTGATCAGAGACTTAGCTTCCATCTATCTTGCTGTCAGGTCCACATATATCCACATCGGTTTGATGTCAAGTCCACATGTTAGCCATTGGGAAGGGCAGAAGGGGAAGATGTCCTTCCCTTTAAAAGCGCAGCCTGTGGGCCGGCCGAGTGGCTCAGTTGGTTAAGAGCTCGCTCAGGAGTTTGAGCTCTGAGCAACAGCTGTTCGAGTCCAGCCCGAGCTGAGCAGCCGCTGAGCTGCCAACAGGTAGCAGGATGGCTCAGCTTTAAAAAAAAAAAAAAGCGCAGCCTGGAAGCTGCAGTATTTCTTCACATATCCTATCAGAAGGCAGTCACATGGCCACATAGCTGCAAGGGAAGCCGAAGAATATACTCTTTAGCTGGGTAGTCAGAAGCCCATCTAAAAATTCTGTTATGAGTACAGAGAAGGGATATTGAGAATAACAGCACACTCTGCCAAAGATTGTACTTAAAACCAAGGAACTAAATGAGATTACCCAGGGAAAACATGTAAATAGGAAAGAGTATGGAGCTCAGAGCCAACCTCTGGAGCTCTTCAACATGTAGAGTTCTGGTAAGGAGGGAAGGCCCATCAAGGAAGGCTGAAAAGAAGCTGCCAGTGAGGTCGAAGGAAAACCAGGAGCGGGGTATCATAAAAGCCCAGAAAAGAAAGTGTTTCCAGGAGATGGTGTTCAATGCTGGTGAGAATTCAAATAAGATGTGAACAGAGAATTGAAAACTGAGTTTGGCAGTGTGGTCTTCTGTCAAAAGCAGTCCCTGCACTTTCTGCCTCCAGACTTTATATAAACAAATGCTCATGCATCCTTCTTACCTTCTTTACATTGGAGGGTGTGAGATGTGGGGTCTCTTGCCTGTCCACTGCTCAGCCTTCTGTGTTCTAAATCACCCCTCCTGCCTTCTCTGGGACCTATCAGTTATCCTTTCTCTTCCATGTATTTTTAGCTTCTTCATCATTTAAACGTGCCCATATCTGAAAATCAAAACAATACAGGGCCGGCCAAGTGGCTCAGTTGGCTAAGAGCTCGCTCAAGAGTTTGAGCTCTGGGCCGGCCGAGTGGCGCGATGGTTGGGAACTGGCTTGGGACACCAGAGGGCCCTGGTTCGGATCCCGCATATGAGGGCCAGTGACACTGCCCTCCGTAGTTAGGATGCTGAACAACAGCTCAACCTGGAGCTGGGCTGCTGTGGGTCACCGGAGACGGCGTAGGCTGCAGCCCCTGTGGCAGTGGGTTGCCATGGGCTACCGTATGTGGCTGGCAGCCAGCGTGAGCGGCCAGCAGCCGCAGTGAGCGGCCGTCCAGAAGCCGGCGACTGATCTGCCTCGCCAGAGAAGAGTGCAATGATGGTGCCAACTTGGGCCAGTGAAGCAACATCCTCCACAACTAGATTGAAGAACAAAACGACAGCAACTTGTCTGTTCCCCTTTCCCCAATTCCCCAGCACTGTTCCCATCCCCCCAATTCCCCAATAAAAATATTAAGAAAAAAGAAAAAAAAGAGTTTGAGCTCTGAGCAACAGCAGTTCGAGTCCTGGCCTGAGCTGAGCAGCCGCTGAGCTGCCAACAGGTGGCAGGATGGCTCAGCTAAAACAAAACAAAACAAAACAATACAAACAACCCCTTCCTTGACCCACACCTCTTTCCAGCTACCACACTTCTGCTTTTCTCTTCTTAGCCGTGTCTGTTGAAAAACACAGCAAGTTCACTGTACTTCTTCACATTGGTCAGAAAATATATGGAGAGAAAGTGACTGCCTGAACAGCTGACCAACCTGGCCTGACCAGCTGATCGAACAACTGGCTGAGTAGATGGAAGGGAGGGCAGATTGAAAGAGTGGACATACTGGATAACTAAATGAGTGACAATTGGGTACTAGATTAATTCACTTTATTTCAGCAAGCATACAAAAACTTGACTTATTCTCTTTGGGAATAAAGGACCCTAGTGCTCTTAAGTATTTGATATCTTGCTGAGAGTGCTTTAAAAGGTGTAAAGTAGAAAAGTTGATGCTTGTCTAAAAGAAGACAACTTACTTGAAGTCCTCTGGGTTTTAGGGCTAACGATGAGCATGACACACTGCTAATTTCTTTATTCTTTGGGTATTCCCACTTTTGAGTCATTGTACTGTGTCATTGGATTTACCTAGGGGAGAACGTCCTTCATGTCCGGGATGCTGATACCCAAGACAAAATATTGCAAGCGTTGCACCTTCAGTTTGGTAAACAGTACCCTTGGTGAGTATATACCTTCTGTTTAAAAAACTATTTAAAAGGGGAGGTGCCTTGGGCACCGTTTTCAAGCTGTGATCACTGTTTAATCATCCCAGCAGAGTTCTCATTCTCCATCACTAGGAGTCCCTAGCTGCTGGTAAGACAGAGCTTGCTAATATACCCCCATTACTCTACCAAGGGTTCCAATGGATAAAAATTTATTTATTTGTCTCAGTTAATTAACATAGCACTTCGGCTAGGAAATACTTCTTTAGCCTACTTTGAATTTCCATAGGTATTAGAAAGTAATGTAACTGATTTTCTTTGAAAATAGTCTAGTTCAGCATTTTAATTTAGACTGTCCTCCTTTCTACTTCAAATTAATGATATTTTCCTGTATTTGAATGTTTTTTTCCTGAAAATAACTTTCCCCCCCCACAAATGTAAAGATAAAAACTAAAAACAAAAATAAATTCATTGTCTCAAACTATGTTATATTTTGAAATTGGCTTAACAAAGATAATTTTTCTTTGATGATACAGGCATTTTTTAATGGTATCCCAGGCTGGAAATAGTTCTATTTCAATCAACAGTGGAATTAGACACTTCATTAGTGACATGAAGCTACTTAGTTACTATGTTGCTGAAGAGATGCAGATGTTGTTATTTTAAAAGGAAAAAGGACAAACTGTTACCTCCAGTCTCAGATTCCAGTACTACCATGTCCTCAATATCATTTAGCATGTATGAGAGAAGCATTTAATTTAATTGACTTTTTGGATATTGCAGTTCAAAGATATATGGAGATGGAAATGCTGTTCCAAGGATTTTGAAGTTTCTCAAATCTATCGATCTTCAAGAACCACTACAAAAAAAATTCTGCTTTCCTCCTGTGAAGGAGAATATCTCTCAAGACATTGACCATATTCTTGAAACTCTGAGTGCCTTGGCTGTTGATCTTGGTGGGACGAACCTCCGAGTTGCAATAGTCAGCATGAAGGTAAAAGAACTCCTAAGGTCTTCACTTGATATCTCATATGAGTAGTTGATTTTTTAAATGTATGGTAGGAAGGCAGAACTAGAAACGTACTCATATGCTCCTTAGCTAAGACCAGTCAGACAGATCTTGTTTTTTTCTCTTTTAGGGTGAAATAGTTAAGAAGTATACTCAGTTCAATCCTAAAACCTATGAAGAGAGGATTAATTTAATCCTACAGATGTGTGTAGAAGCTGCAGCAGAAGCTGTAAAACTAAACTGCAGAATTTTGGGAGTAGGTAAGATTGGGAATCACATATCCAAGAAATGTTCATCTTAATGTACAAAATTTACTGAGTTGTGATGCATGACTGAGTCCTGTGTGTGGATGGCTGTAGGTTCTATTTGTGGGCCCCAAGCAAGGGGTCTTCCCAGGACACCATATGCATTATGGGAGAAGCACTGATGGCACTGTAAATCTGGGTGCTACACAGTTAGCTCAGAACTGCGTGACATTTCCTTGCAGTCTTGGTAATCTTTGTTTTTGGAAATCTTGGGAGAATTAATTTGTGTTCCAAGGCCGGAAAGTTGGCACACTTTTCTAAGATTGCTAATTAGAATTATTTTCCTTGTGTTTGTGGGGGAGCTCAGGTATATCCACAGGTGGCCGTGTAAATCCTCGGGAAGGAATTGTGCTGCATTCAACCAAACTGATTCAAGAATGGAACTCTGTGGACCTTAGGACCCCCCTTTCTGACACTTTGCATCTCCCCGTGTGGGTAGACAATGATGGCAACTGTGCCGCCATGGCGGAAAGGAAATTTGGCCAAGGAAAGGGCCTGGAAAACTTTGTGACACTTATCACCGGCACAGGTAAGAGGAATCAGAGAAGGCCGGTTCAGGAGCTAGTTTGTGCCGGGGCACCCACATCTCCAGTACTCAGCCAGGTAGTTTACAACTCCGCTTTAGCCTGCTTGAGTGGAGCTTGAAGGTGAGCCACCCGTGAGAGCTGAGGGGCTGCTCAGCTCTTTTCTGAGCATGTGCCTGGTACTGAGCATGTGTGTGGCCTTATAAATTCTCAGGAACTTGTCGGAGATATTCAAAGTCCTTATTCCCCAAAGCTTCTCACTTCCCAGCTTTTCCTCCCAGTCTTTTTGGTTAGTATGTTGTTTGCCCCAACTGTAATCAGTTGCCCTAAGCAGCAGAGACTAATAGATATATTTTGCCTTTAAATGTTTTTGACAAATGCCCCCTGAGCCCTGGGAGACTTCTGAAATTAGGTGAGATAAAAGGATCCACCAAGCTGGTCAAGATAAACCACCACAATTCTTTCAGAATAAGATTCGTTCAGCTCCCTCCAGTACTGCCATCTGTACTGGGAATGTGGGCTGTCTTTCAAGGCCCTGCCAATTTATTGGAGGAGGGGGTGATAGGACCAAAGCTTTCTTTTTTAATATTCAGTTGTTTTTTTCTTAAGCATACCCCTGTCTGTTGCAAACTTTTGATTAGTTTCCAGAGTTCCAAAAAAGTTGATTCTGACAGTTGCCAGTTTATTCATTGCTTTAGTGGAAGGATGGACTTGTAGAGTTCCCTACTCTGCCCTTTTTCTGATGTCCCAATTTATTTTTTTAATAAGGAAATAGACTGTGCTAGTAAGTGGTCGAGCCAGCATTTGATCCCAGATGTGCCATACTTCAAAACTCGTGTGCTCTTAAACTTGACATTAGACCACCTCCCCATGAAGCTCATGCACTTCTCTTAGACGCACACACCGTTTTAGCAAGTTTGGCTATCTTTTCCTAGCTCAGAGCAGTTAATAAGCTGCAAATTAGGGTGGTGGTGGTTGAGTAGGTGCCACAAGAAGTAATATATGGCAGGACAACTCTAAAAAGCAGAGCCTTCTAAGGTGACAGAATGCCCTGTGCTCCTTAGTAACTCCTAAGCTCCATAAAAGACATTAATACTCACAATTACCGAATCATAGAGTTTTAGAAATGATGGCATTAAGAAGAGGCAAAAGTATATTTCATATTCTCTAAGAAAGCAGGTGGTGTATAATAATACCACTTTAGAAAGATTGCCTGTCCCCAAAGCAGTGTCTTAGACTAGATTTAGATGTAGGTATTTTATTTTGGAGGTGATCCTGAGAAGCAGGAGTGAGGGGATGGGAAGTGTAGAACAGAGCAGAAGAGCCATTAGAGGATACAGTACCGAAGTTGCCTTGAGGGCAGCGGGGGCTGAAATCTACCAGCACCTCCCAAGAAGCCTGCAGAAAGGCATCCAGAATTGGGCACCTGGATCTGCTGGCTGCTGTCTTGCCTTGGTTGAAGGCTGCCCCTGGGCACTGTGCTTGTATGGCTGACTAAGTGCTTACTTAGTGGTGGAGGGGGCCTTGGTGAGAACAGTGGGCAGCGTGTGCTAGAGGTGGTGTACTGTCATCGCCAGGTGAGTATGAGCTTACACAGAACTGTCTGCCACAGCTGAGGTTGAAATCATAATGAGCTGAGCAGATGTGGTGCAGGGTATCAGAGGATCTGCTCAAATTATTTCTATCCAAAATGATTCCAAATAAAGTTGTGGTACTCAGTAAGTTTCAGCTATCCAGGAAAGTGGCATTATATAGAACCTCACATTCCAAAGCTTTGCTAAACAGCTGAGGCTTTGCCATATCAGTTTTCTGTTTCAAGTGAAGAGCCACCTCAACGATCGTTGTCTTTCACCATAGGGATTGGCGGGGGAATCATCCACCAGCATGAACTGATCCATGGAAGCTCCTTCTGTGCTGCAGAACTTGGCCACCTCGTTGTGTCTCTGGACGGGCCTGACTGTTCCTGTGGAAGTCACGGGTGCATTGAAGCCTATGCCTCTGGGATGGCCTTGCAGAGGGAAGCAAAAAAGCTGCATGATGGTTGGTTTCTTTCCCCTGAGGAATTGAATAGCCAAATGGTAGACAAGTACTTTAGAGATTCCAAAAAGAGCTGAACACTAAAGCCAGAACGTTTAACCTTTTCACCCTAGAGGAAAAGGGGGGCTCAGACATACTGAAGCTTGACGTCTTCTTGGTCCTGACCCACATAACACTCTTCCTCTCCAGTGGGGGAGATGGATGGGGCTCTTGAGCTCCAGGATAGCAGGGAAGATTTCTTTCATTTTTGTTTTCTCAGCCCCTTGCACAGTGTGGGTATTGAATACACATTTTAATGAAGAATTCAATGAACATATTACAGTTTTTGAACTCTGAAAGATCTATTTGAATTAAAGCTGTTTCTGGACATGTTAGGATGGTTTCTAGTCTAACGCACAAGGGAGTCATTTAATCTCGATAACCAAGGAATACAGATGCATGTAAGGGCACCAGTGTTCCCTCCCCACCTGGTAGGGTAGGCGGTCGCAAGTCAGGGTGAATAGAATTAGCGATGCAAGTTATGGAAACACAGTGCTGTGGGTACATAAAGGGCAAGGCAGAGTATAGTGTAGTAAGAGGTAAGCCAGGACTAGCGGCCATGGAGAAGCCAGTGAAAAATTTTAGAGGAAAAGAAACATCTGAATTTTAGATTCTTCACTAAACTCGAACTTTTGTTTTCTGGGGGTTAAATAATGGTAGTAGAATGGAGGGTGGCTTTAAGTGGGACAGTTCTAGAGTGACTTCCAGTTTTCTGGATGGACAGGTTGGGGTTAGGAATAGAAGAGGAGAAACAGGTTTTGGTGGAAGGTGATGGTGGGGACATGCAAGTAGGAATGTATAGAAGACAGATGGCTACAGGGGTCTGATACTGATACTCAGAGATGACTAGACTACAGGTAGGAGTTTGGGAATCATCAGCATTGAGGTGGTAGTTAAACCTATGAATGAGACGGAATGAGGCAAGAATCAAAAATGGAATCCAGCAAAACATCAGCATTTGAGGGCAGGGTGGAAAGCCAGGAAAGGGCAGTCACAGAAGCCAAAAAGGGAGAGTGTTTCAGTGAGGTCGTCAGCAGTGCCAAGTACTTACTGCTTATAAGTAAGAGAAAATCAGAAAAGTTCATTGGCGTTGGCCAATAAGGACATCATTTGAAGCTCTGAAACAGTGTTTATTTTTCAACTTTATTTTTTTTTAGGTTTTTATTGGGGAATCGGGGAAGGGGAACAGCCAAGTTGTTGTCCTTTTCTTCTTCAGTCTAGTTGTGGATGCCACTTCACTGGCCCATGTTGGTATGATCATTGCGCTCTTCCCAGGTGAGGCAGTTGCTCGCCGGTCATTGGACGGCCGCTCACGGCAGCTCTCGCTGGCTGCTGGCTGCTGGCTGCTGACGCTGGCTGCCGGCCACTCATCGTAGCTCACGGCAGCCCACTGCAGCCTACGCTTCATGGGCCACTCACGGCAGCCCAGCTCCAGGTCAAGCTGTTGTTCACAATCTTAGCTGTAGAAGGCATAGCTTACTGGCGCATGTGGGAATCGAACCGGCAGCCCTGTTGTTCAGAACTCATGCTCTTACCAACTGAGCAACTCTGCTGGTCCCAACTTCGTTTTTATCATCACCCCCCAACAAGGAGCCTGTTTAGATGGTTTTTTCCTAATCATCTCACCGCATGAAACTTTAATACCACAGATAGGTTGTTTATCTGTTTATGATTATATACTGTCTGTATAGAAAGAGTAAGATTTTTTTTGCCCCCTTGGAGGCAAATGCATGTCTCAAAGTTCAGTCCAATAGTGGGGGTAGAAGACTGACTACACTGAGTAGAGGGAAGAAATGTTTTGAGGACATGGAATTTGTATGTGCTGATGGAAAGAGACAGTGGGAATGGAAGCAGAGGCTGAGAATGCAGGAGAGAAAGGCTGGTCCCTACAGGAAGGCCCCTGAAGGGGAGGGGAAGAGATGGGTGCAAAGCCCAGGCAGCAGGCCCAGAGGGAATGAAGGAGTGAAGTGTGCATATACTGATGTGTTCATAGGCGGGGACCAAAAAGTAAGTAAAGTCCTGCCTGGTGCTGTCCTTTATCTGAGGGGTCAGAAATATGGAAATCTCTTGATCGTGGGGGGTGAGGGGGCAGGGGCAGAAGGTTTAAGAGGTGAAGGCTTAGCAGAAGAGCAATGAGTGGGAATGGGAGAGGGAGCCGGCCAGGGCAGCTGTGAGGGCCCCCTGAAGGAGAGCACTGGTTGATGTGTAGGTAGCAGTCTGCATGGTTGGGATTTTCTCCCATCAGAGCCCGAGTATAATAGACTAGGCAGATGGATCTGGGTTGGTGACCTGCAAAGTGAGGAGCAGAAAGACAAGGTCAATAGATAACAACAGAAATACCTACTGTTTATTGAGCATTTACACTGCCCACACTTAATATTATACTTTATGTCCATTATCTCACTTAATCCCTAAAATAATCCTGCTAGGGTAGGAATTATTACCCCAGTCTTACAGAGAAGAGAGACACATGGAGGTGACATGACGTGGACAGGGGTGTGCAGCCAGTCATGGCAGAACTGGCAGCTGAACCCAGGTCTGTGTCTGTCCTCAGCTGCTGCACCTTTCTGCCATAGAATGAGGCACTGGCAACAATGCCACATCGCATCTGGGTTGGATAGGAAGGAGGTGCATGCAGGCAGAGGAGTCTGACAATTTGTGGGGGAAACACTTCAAGGACTTGGCTTCATGTGGAAGTGAGACGTGAGGGAATTAGAGCGGTGGGGAGAGGCTCTGGTCCGAGTTGCAGATGTTCCCGCTGGGGAAGTTCTGAGTGAGGTATAACCAGCAGCAAAGGCCTGGGGAATATATGTGGATGTTTATAAAGGATAAAGAGCTTTGCAAATGTGGAAAGAAAACAGTCTCCCACTTGGGGCTTGCCGCCCCCCGGCACAGTGGTAACCTTGGCCTCCCCACAGGCTGCCACAGCTCAGTAATGACTGCTTCTCCTTCTTACCTCTGTGCAAACAGAAGACCTGCTCTTGGTGGAAGGGATGTCAGTGCCTAAAGACGAAGCCGTGGGTGCCCTCCATCTCATCCAAGCTGCGAAACTCGGCAACGCGAAGGCCCAGAGCATCCTGCGGACAGGTGAGTGGTGGCTCCTGGCAGCTCTGCCGCAGGCCCCGCCCGCCCAGGGCTCCCTCAGGACCGGAGGTCTGTCCAGAGGCCTCTCTCCAGCTTACTGAGAGAGAGAGGGGACTGCTTCCAAGGTACTTGGCAGCATTGCCTTCTTAAACAGGTTTTTTTGTTTAATTTTACAACTACGAAGAAAACACTTTTTCATTTTTTAGGAAACTTTGAGAAAAACAGGAGAGTAAGAAAGTGTTACTGAGTTTTGCTGTTCGGAGAGATCACATATTAACATTTCCTTCCAGTCTTTCTATTTTTTTCATAGTTGAGATCATATATACAAATTTATACCCAGCTTTTTTCATTTCAAAGTATCCCAATGATTTATTCTTAATATGAAAAAATAATCATTAAGTTTTTAAAGTACGCCTTCTTGTCACATAGTGTGAACGTACTGACTGCTGCCGGCTGCTGCTGCTTTTCCACCCTCCTCTTGGGCGTTTGTGATTTGACGCTCTACCCAAAACTCACTTTTTGTTTTCCTGTAGCTGGAACAGCGCTGGGTCTCGGGGTTGTGAACATCCTCCACACTATGAATCCTTCCCTTGTGATCCTCTCTGGAATCCTAGCCAGTCACTATATCCACATTGTCAAAGACGTCATTCGCCAGCAGGCCTTGTCCTCAGTTCAGGACGTGGATGTAGTGGTTTCGGATCTGGTGGACCCTGCCCTGCTTGGCGCCGCCAGCATGGTCCTGGACTACACAACTCGCAGGATCTACTAGGCCTCCCGGGAGCGGACACGGACCAAGCGAGAGCTCCACAATGGAGTCAGGTTGTCTTTTAGATGAGCGTTTCTTAAGAAGCCAATTTGGAATTTAAATTCGGCATTTGGCAGATGACTTTGGCAGAGAAGATTTTGCTTTTAGTCTACTCTTCCAAAGTCACTTTTCCCAACCCCCAATTTTGTAGATCCTCTTTCTAGGGTCATTTCAGCTCAAACCCTGAGTGCCAGTCACACAGTTTTCTGTGCCAAAAGGAGCTACAGTAGAAGAGGAAGACTTAGGCCTCTGCTTTCTAGATGCGCCACTCAGACTTGCAGGCCTTGCTTGGGACGTGACCTTGATACTGGAGTTTGGATTATTAATCCTTCCTCCTCTGACCCTAAATTTAGGTTGCAGAAAGGGACCCAGTCAGGGAACAGAAGGAAATCTCACCATGAAAGGCTTGAGTAAACTTTTTGTAGAACAGCTTTATTGAGGTATTTTTTAAAGTGCACAATTTGATAAGTTTCAGTATATGTATATACCCGTGAAACTATTCCCACAATCATGATATTGGACATATCTGTGACACACAAAAGTCACTTATTACTCTCTCAGAACCTTGAGCAACTTTAGACCACGGATTTGAATTACAGTGGCCTTAATGACCTTGTCCTTATCTTCTTAAGGACAGCTGAGAAGCCACTAGGTCTTACAGCCTCTGAAAGGAGATTAACCATCCCAAAAGGATCTTTGCTACTGACCAGCAGACAGCTCTCCCTTCAGTAGCTTTTCATACTATGCTGAATACAACCCTGGAGTCTCTGTTAAGGCAGCGTTTGTGCAAGTATGTTACATCTAGAGCCCACATCTGTGAATCTGGATTCCAGCTAAATAAAGATTCCGTTTTCATCACTGTCAAAGTACAAAGGCCAAGGTTTTTGCTGTCAATTACAACCTGGAAGAAATACTAATAGCCACCATTTATTAAGTGCCTACTGTGTGTCAGGCTCTGAACTGGGTCCCTCATATACATCATTCTAAATTCTCATAATCTGTGACATAGATGTTTTAATTCCCGTTTTACAGAACCCCAAACTAAGCCTTAGTGTTTAAACAACCTAAAGCTACATGGTTAGTGTCTTAGAGACAGGGTTTGATCCCAGGCCCCTCTGTGCTTTTTCTGCTAAGCCACCCAACCTCTCATATCAAAAAGTTTCAAAATGCAAATATATTCTAATTTACAGGTAGACTACCAAAAGCTTTAATAAGAATGTTATTAGTAATGACTTGATTTAACCCTCTGTTGGGCGCACCTGATCTCACAGATTCATTGCACACAAATTTTCAAATATCTAAGTTAAGTATCATGACTCATCGCTTCTGTATCTTCTCCCTCTACTGGAAACTATCGCCAGTCGTGTGTGTGACTTAGTAAAGATGTATTTCATAGCAGCATCTTTGTGTGCAATGTATCTGGGAGATCATTTGCGCCGATGGAAGGTTAATCAAAGATTCCTCTATGCTGTATAAATTTTTCTGGTACGGTATTTGGGATAGTGATAGGTTTCATGGGTACTTTTGAATGATCTAAAAAAGCATATGCATATGTTTTTCAGACTTTTATTATTTTAAGAAAACCTGAAGGTTTCTACAATACATTGTTTCAGCAGTAGCATATCAAATAAAATGAAGGAATCAACTAATTCCTTCCTGGTAGGTTAATATGAAAAGATAGGTTGGCTCATTCCTAGAACTCTACCAGCCCTGAAATAATCTCCACAGCCTCGTTACTGTTGAAACATTCCAGTGATTCCTGGGATGGAAGCTTGTCTGCTTGGCCATCAGTGTCTGGAGCAAGATGGTATACTATGAAGGGGCATCAATTGTTTCTTGGTGTAATCTGTCATCACTCTATACACCAGACAATTCATTGCTACCCAAATATATGAAGGATGGTACTGAATCTAAAACTAAATCTTAGTTTTGTTTTAAACTCATAGGCTAATATATTCTAACATAATTATTACGTGTAGTTAATATCTTAATTTATTTTAATGTAAATATTTTTGTTACTGTTCTGAGCCAAATTCTAAAGAAAAAAATAAATATATTTCCTTGTGGAAATCCTAGCACTTTGTATTTTGTTTTGTTCTTAATTAACTCATTAGCTAAAAGCATTTCCCTTCCCAGTATAGATTTATATTGTTGCATTGGTTACTTTTTGAAGGTCATACAACTTCTTTAAGGCATCTAATATAGATTTCTTAACCAAAAGGAAAAAAAAAACTTTTGATAATAGAAAGCATTATGTAATATTTTTAAACTATATTGTGAAATGATCGCAATAAATATGATCTGTCACCACATAGTTACAGAATTTTCTTGTGATGAGAACTTTTAAGATCTACTCTCTCAGCAACTTTCGAATACATGATACAGCATTAACTATGGTTGCCATGCTGTACGTTATATCCCCATGACTTATTTATTTTTTATTTTTTTTAGCTGAGCCATCCTGCCACCTGTTGGCAGCTCAGCTCGGGCCGGGACTCGAACCACTGTTGCTTAGATTAGCACTCTTTGAGCAAGCTCTTAACCAACTGAACCACTTGACCGGCCTGACTTATTTTATAGCTGGAAGTTTGTACCTTTTGATTTCCTTCATCCATTTCACCCACTCACCTCTGTCAACCACCAATCTGTTCTCTGTATCTATGAGCTTTTTTTTTTTTTTGCTTTTATTAAAGATTCCATATGTAAGGGAGATCATACAGTATTTGTCTCTCTCTGATTTATTTCACTTAGCATAATGGCCTCAAGGCTGTGACAGATGGCAAGATTTCATTTGTTATGGCTGAATAATATTCATACACACACACACATACACACACACACACACACACACACACACAATTTCTTTATCCATTCATCTCTCAATGGACAGTTAGGTTATTTCCATATCTTGTCTTATAAATAATGATGCAATGAACATGGGAGTGCAGATACATTTTTGAGTTACCGTTTTTATTTTCTTCGGATAAATACCCAAGAGTGGAATTGCTTGGTCTTACGATAGTTCTATTTTTAATTTTTTGAGGAATCTCCATACTGTTTTCCATAGTGGCAGCACCAATTTACATTCACACCAGCAGTGCTTAAGTATTCTCTTTTCTCCACATCCTTGCCAGCACGTTCTTTCTTTTTTTTTTTTTTTTAAGATTTTATTGGGGGATTGGGAGAGAGGAACAGACAAGTTGCTGTCCTTTTGTTCTTCAGTCTAGTTGTGGAGGACACCGCTTCATTGGCCCATGTTGGTATTATGATCATTGCACTCTTCCCGGCTGAGGCAGTTGGTCGCTGGCCATTGGACAGCCACGCATGGCGTCTCACGGCAACTCACGGCAGCTCTTGCAGGCTGCCGGCCACCCACGGTAACTCACAGCAGCCCACTGCAGCCCCACTGCAGCCTGCGACGGTGACTCACGGCAGCCCAGCTCCACGTTGAGCTGTTGTTCACCATCTTAGCTGTAGAGGGCGCGTCACTGGCCCCTGTGGGAATCCAACCAGCGGCCCTGCTGCTCAGCGCGCACGCTCCCAAGCCAACTCTTAACCAACTGAGCCACTCAGCCGGCCCTATTTCTTGTCTTTTTGATAACAGCCATTTTGACAGAAGTGGGGTGGTATCTCATTGTGGTTTGATTTGCATTTCCCTAATGACTAGTGATGTTGAGCAACTTTTCATGTACCTGTTGGCCATCAGTATGTCTTCTTTGGAAAAAATGTCTATTCAGATCCTCTGTCCATTTTTTAAGATTGTTTTCTTGCTGTTGAGTTACATGAGTTCTTTATATTATTTTGGATATTAACCTCTTTTCAGATACATGATTTGCAAATATTTTCTCTCAGTAGGATGCCTTTCATTTTGTTGGTTTCCTTTGCTGTGCAGAAGCTTTTGTTTGATGCAATCCCACTTTTAGTTTTGCTATTGTGGCCTTTGCTTTTGGTGTCAAATCCAAAAAATCATTGCCAAGACCGATGTCAAGAAGCTTGCTGCCAGTTTTCTAGAAATTCTATGGTTTCAGGTCTTACATTCAAATCATTAATCTATTTTGAGTTAATTTTTGTGTATGGTGTTAAGATCGTGGTCCAGTTTTCCCAGCATGATTTATTGAAGAGACTTATCTTTTCTCAGTTGTGTATTTTTGGCTCCTTTGTCATAAATTAATTGATCATATATGTGTGAGTTTATTTCTGGGTAATCTGTTCTGTTCCATTGATGTATGTATGTGTCTGTTTTTATGCCAATACAACACTGTTTTGATTACTATAGCTCTGTAATAGTTTGAAATCAGGGAGCGTGATATGTCCAACTTTGTTCTTCTTTCTGAAGATTGGTTTGGATATTCAGGGCCTTTTGTGGTTCCGTATAAATTTTATTAGGATTGTTATTATTTCCATTAAAACTGCCATTGGAATTTTGATAGGGATTGCACTGAATCTGCAGAATGCTTTGAGTGGTATGGACATTTTAACAATATTAGTTTTTCCTGTCCATGAGCACAGACTATCTTTCCATTTATCTGTCTTCTTCAGTTTCTTTCACCAATGTCTGATAGTTTTCAGTGTACAAGTCTTTTACCTCCTTGATTAAATTTATTTCTAGGTATTTTATTCTTTTTTTTTTTT